ACAATTTACTGGCGGGGAGGGGTTGCTGAGCCGAAAAGTTTGGAAATTTACAGGCCAAATCAGTGCATTTTATTGATTCAAAGGGTACTTGGGGCAAATAGTGGTACGGTCAATATCGTAGTGACCGTAGCGTGTCCGACGCCCCTGAGGACAGTAGCACAACTCATAACGTACCAGTGAAGTTCTTGTTAGACACCACAGTCTCTGCTACTATACTCAGCAGAGAGGACTACAGCGGGGAAAGACCAACAAGACGGACAACACGTAAAGCACACAGCCTACTCAGTGAATTGAGTTGAACTTGCACGAGCACACTAACTCTGCTACGGTTAGCATCAACATTACTTGTTGTCTCGTGCAAGCAATGCTGCGTGTCTTGCAGTGAGAGCACTCTGGTTTTGATGCTTGGAGCTGATTAAAAAACGCCTTCATGCTCACTAGACTTCATTGAAATCAGTTTGGCTAGTTACTCTGACCTCCGCTGATGAGGAGACCACACACAGTACAAACGGGTAGCTGATCGGAGGTCAAGTAAACTTGTCATTGTGAAATTTATTACTGGTAATACCTGAAAGACAGCCGGGTAAACAGAACTCATGGCGTAAAAGCTCATATTTAGCACAGAGCACCAGCAACAGACAAATCACTGTTGGTAAATGTACATCTACGCGACAAAGGCCTGGACCACTAGTAGTAGTAGTAGTGCGAATAGGATATGCAAATACACACATTGTGTTCTGTTGGGATTAAAGCATACTATCAAGCTGTAAGAAGTCAGGAGGGAGGAAACTGTGACATGGCCAATAGCACAAAACACTACACGACACTAATAGTTACCTGGTACTTCGCCGTCCAGAAGCCATTGAACGTGTCCTCCCATTCCGGAATAGCACCAGCACCAATCTCCGACTGCAGAATACGGTATGAGAAGAAGCAGGATACTGTGATGTTGTTGTGCTCTGTACATCCTGTAGATCCTGTCTCAGTAGCCATGAAAACACATGTCCAGACTTATATCATCTCTTACATCATCTCTTACATCATCTCTTACATCACCTGTTGTCACACTTCTTCAAGTCACTATTGTATATGATCACACTACAATGTCACAAAGCATAGCATGATGAAGGCTCTATGGAGACTCAATTTCCAAACCGTGAGCTACTTGTTTCGACATTGCTGTAAGGTCGCAACAGCGGAGCTCCGAGTGACTGTGTGTGTGTGCGCGCGCGCGCGCGCGCGTGTGTGTGTGTGTGTGTGGGTGGGTGTTCTCTTTGTTGGCCTCCTCCACGGGGCGGCCTTGGCCTTCTGGTCAGGGTCGTCCCTGGGTATTGAGTGGCAGTAGGCTTTTCATGCCTTGCAGCCGGCTTCGCTCGCGCGGAAGGACATTCAGTGAGCTGACGACCAGGGCGGGTAATTATTTGTTGCCGTCACCGTCTTCTTGCGTCCTTTCCGCATCCTCCGCAGTGGCGTGGCGAGCCCTCGGATCGCTCCCCAGCCTGAAACAATGCAGTGGCGTTCGGCAAAGCAAGTGGATTCCTGAAGGAACAGGTCACACTCGCAGCAATTTATTCCTGCGCGGTGTATCGCTGGAATTGTGGATTTGTCGTGTTGTTTGGACCTGAGTGGCCAGTCGTCGTGCGACGATGGTGTAGTGATGTTAGCTTGCTGTGCACACTCCTCGTCGTTTCGTGAAAGTTCGTCTTGTGGAGCCCTTGTGGGACGTTCGGTGCCCACCCTCCAGTTCAAGATTGTGCTTTCCTGGTTTATGAAGGCCGAAGCAGTACGCGTACAGACGTTGAACAGAACATCATGTTCCTTTTTCAGTCGTTGCATGTTATACTTATAGTGGACCTACAGCAGACTGTTCATCTGGTTTGTGATATTTCTTTCCTCTGTTTGTGAGTCCTTTTCCATCAATATGGCAGCTTGTTTTGATTTCCTTTTTTTTTCTTCAATTCATTTTGCTGTACTTCCTGTTTTGTTTTGCGCCACTGCCCCTCACCTTGCGCTCAGTTCTCTGAGTGGAGGGCGGCGTGACCCCACGGGGTAGCTGATTGATAGTAGTAGTAGTGTGTGTGTGTGTGTGTGTGTGTGTGTGTGTGTGTGTGTGTGTGTGTGTGTGTGTGTGTGTGTGTGTGTGTGTGTGTGTGTGTGTATGTGTGTGTGTATGTGTATGTGTGTATGTGTGTGTGTGTGATGTGTTTGTGTGTGTGTGTGTGGTGTGTATGTGTGTGTGTGTGGTGTGTGTGTGTATGTGTGTGTATGTGTGTGTATGTGTGTGTGTGTGTGTGTATGTGTGTGTGTATGTCTGTGTGTCTGTATGTGTGTTCATGGATAGAATCCTAGAATGCCAGGATAGGTAGCACACACTACGAATCCAGCACATGCATACCTTGATAAATGGCTTCTTCTGATTCACTGCTACCCAAGAAGCTTCTTCCAGAATTGCTGGAGCGACTGTGCCCAGCTGATCTTGTAAGCTGTAGTCTCCACTGTCGCCATACCAACCTAGTAAATAGAGAAGAATGATCATAATACAGTATAGTATGCTACAGGACACCTCTAGTGTACATGGTCTTCTCGTTTGAATACGGATCTCTCATCCTCTTTTCCATATGACTATGAGTAGTAACTGCGGCTATACTTTGCAAGTATGTGGTTTCCCTAAGTGCCCGACACTAAAGTCAAAGGACGTTGGTAGACATTTTAGATGTGCAATAGGAGTGTTTAGACTCAGGTTAGATACCTGAGACAGGTTGCCATAGAAACCAGACTCCTTGCCAAAGAAACCAGTCTCTGCATATCTACCTCATGTTCTGATTCTCCGGCTCTCTGTCTCAATTCCATCCGGTTTCATGATGTACATGTACTTCCTCCGCGTCATCGAAACTGTCGCAGTTTGACTTTTGATATAAAACGGGATATTTACTCACCAGCACTCGTACCAGAGGCAAGGAGTATAGGGTGACGGCAAAGTTCTATTTTCTGTTATTGGAAGCTGAAATTTTTGAACTAGACGCAATTTCTTCGCTGATGTCGCTGCGATGGTAATTTCGACTCGCTGAGATCAGTCAGGCGTTGCAGCCTGCACATTTCTCGTGCTTATGGTCATTCAATCAAGCCTCATCACTGTTTTACCTTAGCTAGGGTGAGAATGACTTCGTGGAACAAGTAGCAGCGCTTGGAGAAACATCGAGGGGTCAGCAAACTAAATGCATGCAACAGCGATAAAATGTGTCGCTCTGGCTGAGACACTAAGTACATGATTGTACCTGCAAGAGCTATGTAGACTCTACATGTGGTGATAGTGATGCACGCGCAGGTGCCGTACCATTGATGCTGAAAAAGAGGACGCGCTGGACGTGATAGTACACTTACCTGCATGAGCTGTGACCACACAGCAAAAATAAATGGGCATGCCACGGCTAAAAAAAGTTCATTTCAAGATCGAGGTGATTCCGCCGACGGTAATTAACCGACCTCGCAACGATCGTGTATTCTTACTAGGCTTCGTTGGTGGTGAAGTAGAAATCATCCAGAGCTAGCAGACGACAAGCATAGCAGCTCTTGTCCTGTGGAAAAAGTCAAAGAGTTTGAGATGAGGCGCGAACAACTTTCAACCTTCCTTGAAATATTTCGGAACAATATTTTTGCGTCCATTGACATCAGCGACGACGAGGACTTCATCTCTGCATGAAAACTCTCAGTCAAACTGTCCTGGAACGTTACTCTACAGTGCATTTCAAAACTATAGACGCGTAGGGTTTTTGAAATATTTCAAATTTGGCTGGAACATTTTGAGAATAGTTTTCGGAATATTGCTCAGGATCGCTCCACAATTACTCTCATATAGTTTCTAAAGGATTTGGATAACAGACGCCCAATTTGGAAAAATTTATGCACAAAGTGATCACAGATTTTATGTGGTATAGATGCTGGCATAACGGTTTTTGCCTAGGTACGCGTCTATAGTTTTGAAATGGACTGTAGTCTTCAGACTATCATACTGTGTAATAAGTTTTGAATGGTTTAGCTTACGGAGTTGTCACTACCAAATGACAAGTCACTAGTCAAACTGCGACAATTTCGATGACGCGGAGGAAGTAGTGAATCATCTCTCTGTCTCTGTCTGTCCGCTCTCCGTTTACCCCAATACTAATGTCTTCCCCGCCACACCTCATCCTTACTGCAAATGCTTAGAAAGAGGATTTATGACAGTTCAGCACTGCGTCTTTGCCTTGTTCATTAATTCAGTCATAGCATTCCTACTGATGCAGAAAATCAATCTGACTGACTACAAATCAAACTGTAAACAAAGTGTTGCTATACCAAAGGGGGCCAGTGCAAGCAGGCATGATGGAGAGAGAGAGAGAGAGAGAGAGAGAGAGAGAGAGAGAGAGAGAGAGAGAGAGAGAGAGAGAGAGAGAGAGTGAGAGGGAGAGAGAGAGAGAGAGAAGGAGAGAGAGGGGGAGGGGGGAGGAGGAGGAGGAGGAGGAGGAGAGAGAGAGAGAGAGAGAGAGAGAGAGAGAGAGAGGGAGGGAGGGAGGGAGGGAGGGAGAGGGAGGGAGCGAGAGAGAGAGGAACGCGGCTCCCTTTCTCACCTGGATATGAATTAAACGACACCACATCCGCATTGTCCAGACAAACATCAGATTGCTTCTTGTTTGATGCCCAGGACACAAGACCATTGACACCAAGCTCTCGGTAGCGAGATGCTTGAGGCTGGAAAAGACGTGTAGGGGCGGAAATGATACAATCATGTATAATTTTGCATTTTTAACATGATTGTGTACATAATTACAAGACTGTTCCCAGAGACAAACCACTCTAATAATCGTAACCAGAGAATTCGCATTTCACTGAAGATGTGAATCTGCGGAAGAGATGAAATCCTGGCTTAACTGCAGTTGAATTGCAAGGCTGTTGTAAATCTCTACAATAAGACTGACGTACGATGCATTTACACAGCTCTTAGTTTGTTTTGTTATTTCCTCCGAGTTAATAAAATGTGCATTTCATTTCATCTATCTGTTCCGCTCGATCTACCTGTCAGCTCACGAAATAGAACAGAGACACAACTCCTCACCTATTGCAGTTGGTCATAGGTTAATTTGGAAAAAATGGCAAGCCCTAAGAGCAAAGAGAAGCGATCGTTCAGGCGTTTGAAGCATGTACATGTACCAGCGAATGTTTACGGCGTGAGTACACCACCCGCAACACCTAAGGTTGTTTGGAAGCGATCCGACTCACGGACGGGTACGGTAGCTGGCAAAACTGACATTCTCGAGCCAGTGACTAGAAGGCACAAGAGTATCAGCGTGTCATGCTCAGCAAAGACTGCGTGTTTGACTCGATGCGTCATTTCACCATAACTCAGGAAAGCTGACCTATTAGCACGACGGCGAGCGGCCCCACACTGCAAGAGCAAACCTTGAGCACACACGGGAAAAGAAAGGATTCAACATTGCTGTTGTCACGCAACCGCCTCAATCGCCCGACCTAAATTGCAATGACCTGGCGTTCTTTGCCAACTTGCAGTCCGAGTCCGACACTGACCTTGTCGCGAAGGAGAATGTCGCCGATTAGATGCAGACTGAAGAAATGTTGGTCTGAGTACCCTGCGGAGCGGATGGAGAGTGTGTCGAGATGTCTCTTCGCATCTTTCAAAGGCATCATCGAGAGCCGCAGTGACAACACTTATTACACCACACCGGAGCACGGAGGAGCTCCAAGACGAAATCTGCTGCGAATCGCCACGACCTGAGCTTTCCAAAGCGACTTGTGACGAGCGCTAAGAATGTCCGCGATGAAATGGCCGCCAGAATTGCAGCACCCAGCGAAGAAACCACTAAATCCACAGACTCGTCGTCAGATGGGAGCGACAAAATTTCCTCTCAATGTAATGGAAATATTTTGAACACACAATCTTTCTTCGTGCTGTACTACAACTTGAAACTGAACCGCACATTTTGGTAAATCGGAGGAAGTAGATCCTTTTTGAGCAATGTTAACACAGCAGAATCCACTTACCACATATGCTGAGTCACAAGCACTCTTCTTGTTCGAAGCGCCCTCGTTCAGGAAAGCCCAGATTATGATAGACGGATGGTTGAACGTGTTGTTAACCATTTCATCAACACCCTAAAGTCCATCACACATGAGACATTTGAGAAACATAAACTGATCAATGGATCATGCAAGTAGTACAATACAAGCGGGTGAGTCGGTGTAAAACGTCTTGGCCCTATTGCGTACATGCCACACACATACGCACATAGGCCAGTTCAATGCTAGTTGTCACACTCCATATCTGTACATTATTGGAAACTGAAAACAATGCCATGCCCACCTGAAGTAGTGCCTTGACGAAGTCTGGATTGGTCAAATCTGATTCAGAATTTCCCCATCCAAGGTTTTCTTGCCACACCAAGATGCCCATTTCATCACACAGCGACAGAAACTCCGGATCATGGGGGTAGTGCACCAACCTGTGATTTTAATCGACAAAGACAACAATCATTTACAGTTAACTTAATTATAACTGTGCTGCCTTCCATCCGCTTCTTCAAGTAGTGCTACAGATCAACAAATTAGAATTAACTAATGAGTTTGAAACTTTGAGGTACGGTAAAGCATATTTGCATGCATCCTAATTCCTTCTACTTTGCACTCGGGATTATACCGCATACAATAAAACCGCGCAGGAAATACCCGTTGTGACTTTTACCCATGAGGCTCATCCTCTCTGGAGAAATATTTTCACATATAGATGGTCAAGGCAGCTCAAAGTATGAGTTGTTCTGTGTAGGAACATTTCTCGATTTCCAGTGCATGTACATGAAATGAGAAGTACAGCTATCTGCAGATAATGATAAGAGGAAATATGCTGGCCTCTTGGTTCAAATTACCAAGCACTGATATCAGAATGAAAAGTACCGTGATGTAAATGGAAATGGGTCCGCTGTTCCCGCAGCTGAGCCTTGGTTGTGCAGCACTAAGAATGGAAGTTACTTCCACAGTGGGTAGTCACATGTATCACAACGTGTGATACTCAATGGGTTCTTTTTACAGGAACATACAACACATACCTCAGGTAATTTCCACCCATATTCTTCAGGATCTGCAGGTCCTGCATCCACTGCTGGCGGTTCAAGGATGCACCGTACTGGGGATGAGCATCATGACGACTGAATCCCTTTAGTTTGGTTTCCTCACCATTGATGCACAGAGTAGCTTCACCAGTACTTCTCTTGCATGCTTCCACTGACCTGGATGACACAAGCACAAGTTTTAAACGATCTCCTTTGTAAAAGGCACCGCATTTAACATAGACAGTTACTAACCACATGATAAAACGTATAGATTATTTCAGCTAAATTGATCAAGAAGACTTGATCATGATAGTTGAGGTTGACAATTCACTCACCTCAGTCCAAACCTGACAATGATCGCATCCTGGATTTGTTCATTTCCCAGAGTACCCCCCATGGACACGTACAGTGTATGTAAAGATGGTGCCTCAGGACTCCACAGTCTGCATGTACAGAACAGAGGAAGAGAGAAAGAATAAGAGAGCGAAAGAGAGACGGTGAAGAGGGGGAGGGTGGGGGAGGGTGGGGCCCGGTTTGGCCAAGCACTTGGTCATTGTGGTATTTGCTGTAGAAGGGATCATTTCTACATTTTCTGTTGATGTTTACTTTACCTCCCACGGAAGCGGAAAGGTGGTTCTTGACCAGGGAGTTGTACGACTCCTTGTTCTTGACCTGCCCGGTACGCGAACCCGTCGAATTTTTTTTACAGTTTTGTAGACAGTTTTACACATAACGTTAGGCTAGGTAACCATACTTTACATACAACATAATACCGTAAGTTCATTCAGTACAGTCATGTACGTACTAGGGTTTTGCACTGCATGTTATGTCTGCGGTCACTTACCTAGGGTTATCTACTCTGATGCCAGTGATAGTAGCTTGACCGTCAGTGACAGGAAATGAAGATGACCTGCTACTCGATGCATTACCATCTACAGCTGTGGGCAAAAGGTGCAAGAAGGACAATTTGAGCAAAACAGCTCAAACATCATACACTGTTTGGGTGCGTTCCACAGTGCTGCTGTCTGCTATCTTATTAGAGCAGTGTAATACACTTACTATAGGTCAGAGTGACTTCACCGGGCAATGACTGTGATCCATGAAACCGTACACGAGCAGACACAATGCCGCCTCCTTGTTTGGTCATGACTGTGGAAACAAGCAGATTTGAACCAGATAGCATCATGTGGACATTAGGACAAGGTGATTGAACAGTAAGTAAGAGTGATGCATGACTTAATAATGCAATGAATATAACTAAATGCGCACTCATATCACAACCATGGGGACGAATCATGTATTCCAGAACGTTTTCTTGTCACAATTATCAATGGAATTCGTGACTAAAGAGAATGATGAAACTACAATAGGATTTATACACTTGGAGTGGAACAGCGGGGATACAAATATAGTAAGAAAAATAGCACAAACCTAGGAACAATTTGCACAGGTAATAAACTATAGGTGAGGTGAGAAATGATAGGAAATTCAGCAAGTGCAGTGTGACAATGGACATGCATGTGCAAGTGTGTGTGAGTGCGATTTTTCTTACTATATTTGTATCCTCGCTGTTCCACTCCAAGTATATAAATCCTATTGTAGTTTCATCATTCTCTTTAGTCACGAATTCCATTGATAATTGTGACAAGAAAACGTTCTGGAATACATGATTCGTCCCCATGGTTGTGATATGAGTGCGCATTTAGTTATATTCATTGCATTATTAAGATTATTGTCTCCACGTCGCCTTGATGCATGACTTCCTCATCATTTCTACTCAAATAATGACATGTCAGCAATCTAGCACCAATGCCGCAGATGATGATCCTTAGCCCATCCACAAGTAGAGATGTAAGGAGCTGGCAAAGTGCATGGTGTCCGGATGATGGTTTCCGCTGACAATAGCACTAGCATCATTCCCAAATGCTCAGTGGAGTGCAGTATGGATCTGAGAATGATCTCTATACCAACTTTTGGTCCAGAGTGCATGCATGATTACACGCATGCAAGAACACCCCCCCCCCTAAATCTGGTACCGTCCATGCACTTACCATCAACACCTTGGATAGCAACTGAACCAGACTCCTCATGAAGAGTGAGATGCCGTATAATACCACCAACTGTGCAGTCCAAAAGAAAATTTGCAACATATCAATTCATGAATATCCCCTATTTTAATTTTTACTGCCCACGGCCGCACAAAGTCCTTGGCTACACAAAAATGAAAATCTCTCCAAATCTCTCCAAAACAAACTTCAAATTCGTTTCCAAATTTTCGCCCAAGAGGGCATCTTCAGGGATAGGCATCATTTTGGAGAGATTTGGAGAGATTTTCTTTTTTGTGTAGCCAAGGACTTTGTGTGGCCGTGGGCGGTAGAAATTAAAATCATGACAAGGCTACAGAGGAGCTACGCCATTCTTATTAATCCCCTATTATTTTTACTGTCAATTTTGTGAGTGGCTAGAGCAAAAACCAGTTGTGACAGTGGAGTCTTCACACACTAAGGAATGACGGCTACTAAAAAGATTAGGGATATGTCGCATGGGTATGGTGAAAAAGTGACAACAAGCCGTCCAAGTAGCGCCAATAGATTACCTTTGGATCATTACAAGATACTGAGCTTCCACTCAGAGCCCTCGCTATGCTTTGTGTGTACCAATACTTGGCGCATTTTCGGGGGGGGGGGGTGGGGGGTGAATACAATGGTGGGGACATGTACGGGACACAGGCAATGTGATAGAGCCTTTGTATCGACTAGTAGAGGAAATTCTCTGCGGGATATATGTACGCTGGATGGTACAGGACACACGAGATACCTACACCAGGCTTCTTGTGACTCTTGTCACACCATAACAATAGATGATGCAATGTGAACATATAGGCATGCACTTTGTTGCACACCTCTTTTTCGGTCGAAAATTGACAAAGAAGTTCATACGACTTTCATTACTCCAGGTCGTAAAGGACAAATGTTAAGAATTTTTGTTTTGGGAAACCTCTCTATTGTACACATGGGAGTGTGTGACATAACATACGAGTACTCGTGATCAAAAATCACAGTGTTCTATTCTCACATTGATAGAAGTCGTAACCTTCACTTTGCAGTATTGTGCGATCCTTGTCAAAGCGATTGTCCACCACAACCACTATCTCATGATTGCCACTCTCCCGAGGTGTTGAGCCCACCCAGAACGGACTGGAGAAAACGAAAAGATAAACATGACAACAGACAAAAATGACGAAAGATGATGCTTCTCATCACATGTACTTCAGTAACAGGAAAGGAAACAGTACGAAACTGCTGTGACTTGTCTGAGATAACCCCGCTCCCCTCCTCCCTTTGAACTGGCAACTTACTTCAAACAGTAGCAGTTTGCTAAACTAACCAAAAAAAAACACAAGTGCTTGCTTAGAAGGCAACGTGCAATGTCTTTGTCTGCTTTACACCAATGTCAGCAGCTAGGCATTGTGTTTAGATGTAGGATATCAACATGCTCTCATGTTTCCTTACCTATATCCATTACTGTGCTCGGCAATCATCTTGCCATCAACATACACAGAACACCACAGGCTGCAGGCCTCGAACTTCAACCGCCAGCCGTTGCCACCACTCACAAACACCGTTCTTCTGTAGAATGCAGTCCCACGGACACCTGGATTGTGCAAAGGAAGAATGGAAGATACACGACTGAGACCAATGAAGGGTAAGGTGACTGATCCAACACTGCAGAGGTGATTCTACTTCAGAAGTAATGGACACCCAAATGAGTATGATGTGCACAATTCCAGGTGGATTGCTCTCACCTGCATACTGGGGGCTTGCATCAAAGCTTCCTGGGACGGCCATTTTGTCATTGTAGATAACCTATGCACCAAGCACCACACCAACGGTCTTATAAATACAGTGAATGTATTCCTGATCATGGCTCACTCTATAAGTATTACTTTGCGGTCCCGTGTGACTCGTCTCAGTATTTATCACGCAGGCATGGTACTGTGCATCACAGTATTGGATTGAATCATGCCAGTCTAGAATGACATTTGTGTGCTACATTAACAGACGTGCACGCACGTACACACACACACACACACACACACACACACACACACACATAAACTGGTACAACAAACAAGCATGCTATCACACACCTGAACTTTTTTTCAATTGTACGTCAACTCTAACGCAACCACTTGTACATCACTCTGACTCATAACTAGGTCATTCTCCCTAATGGTCTTTTTACTGCAACCAATTGGTTAAAAGGTTTACCAATTTTTTGAGCATGGCCTATTATGAGGGTGAAAACTAATAGGAATGGTTGACGAAAGGTACTTGTGGATGTGGGATGACGAACAAACACTGCGCAGAATAAACATCCCTTTCAAGTGTGACTATGGTAGTTGACGTGTAGTAAATCAGCCTACAGGTGATGTATGCACCAGCTAAGCGGTGGGGTGATTGTGTGTGTGTGTGGGGGGGGGGGGGGGGAGGTGCCGGTGCGTCCACAGAATCTCAATGGAGACATGTGAAGGTAACCCACATTGATAAAGTGCCACAGTGTTTATCAGGGAGCCGTGAAGGGTTTTCATGACTCCCTGGTATCTATCTACTACGGGCAGCCGCACGAACGAACATGGCGACAGAGTTACCTTGTTCAAGTCCACGTGCTTGGGGTCGGCAACATTGGTCGTGAAATTGAAGTCCCAGAAGCCACTCAGTGACTCCACACGGCTCGTTGGCCAGCATGGGTAAGTGTGGCATATCTGGGTGTTGAGATTGACTTGCACTTGGACGTTCCTCTCCTTGCTCATTCGATTCGGACTGAATGCAGCAACAGCAACAGCGTCGCACACTAGCAGCAGTGCCGCTATCAACTGCAAAGCTGTACCCGTCTTGGCTTTGACAAACCACATAGCTCTCAGCTTACAATTTTATATTGGGGTGAAATGTTGAACTACAGACAGTTGTAACGTCGCACCGCCAGTGAATGAATACAAAATAATTGAATGGATAATATTTCGGGCAGGCGGCAATCAAAAGGAAGGAGTGGCGGGGGTAACTGGGGTAGCAGAGATCTAGAGTGTAGAGTAGACCATGAATGATGAAGACCCTACTGCCTACGTGCATCGGCATTGCACCTACTACATGTACATGCCTGGTCCACATTACACTACACTACAGTCATACAGTAGTCAGTAGGCAGATTTTCGACCGGCGACATAATCATTGATGATTGAGATTTTGCATTCGACGGTCATTAATTAATTTGTCGAACATCAAAATGAATGTCGAATTTTCGAACAAACGTTTGTTTTGCAAGGCGAACATCATGTGGTTTCATTTCGTGAGCTCCATAATCAGCACCTTCTGTCCCGTGCTCCTTTTCTTGCGGACTCCAACGAACCTTTGATCACGCAAATACTCGAGGGCCAAATCTGCCTCCTCAGTTGCCTCAGAAGAACCAACTCCATGGGCAAGTCAAATAATTGTATGAGTATCGCCTTGTCTTTTTAACCACACAGATGATGGTGAGCACACTCCAGGCGAAAGGGAGTAGAATGGCAATGGAGAGGAGGAATCACAGGTAGCTGACGATGCTGGTGTCACCGAAGACGCCTGTGAAGCCATGCCGAGATAAGAAACCTCTTAGAATAAACCAAGCGCTAGCTAGCGGTATTCTACAAGAATTCTTCCGAAAAAAAACATTCAGCAAAGTGAGCTTTTTCCGAACAAACATGCCGAATCTTCGAGTGCATTTTCGACCTCGTGTCGCTCCCGCATGCGCATGCCGAATCAATTGAGTTTTTTCGGCCAAGTATCGACTGTAGTGCACAATTGTAGTGTAGACTGATCTGTGCATGTATACTGTCTGTTGTTACTTGTAGTAGTCGATAGTTTGGCCGCAAAGTAACTAGTTGGCCGAATTTTCTTCTGGTGGAGCAACCACAATCACTGACGGCTTTTCACCATGACACTTGACAGCAGAGATCGTCGGTGCAGACCGTGAACTGGCTGGACTGGAACATACACGTACCAGAAAAAGTACCAAATATTTAATTCTGCCTTATTGTTCTGCCGGCATTATCATGATTATCCGCCATGGGCTGGTGCACGGTGTACAGTGCAGCCACTACTCAAATAATTGAAATGTGCAACGTATGGTTCCTGTACCGTGCTACCGGTATGCCTCGTGGTTCTTGCTGAGCTATCCCTTGGCAGATAATGCCGGCAGAAAATTGGCAGAAGTTGGTAAAGGTTTCAGGTATGTTTGGTATGTGGATAAAGAGCAGAATTCAAGGAAGTGCCTGTCATAAGGTTGGTATGGTTCTGCCAATTTCACTGCTTTTCGAACAGAATCTGCCGTTTTCTCGAGGATTATACGCCAAGGACTACTGTATCTTTTGCACGCGAGATCTTCATAGAGAAGGGGTACACTGCCGATCGTTGTGCTTGGCACTGTCTGCTGTGTAGGGATGATATTTTACTGCTGAACTGGGTATCCCCCAGTCTTTATTTGAACACCACTGAACCAAAGAAATAATTATGTATAACTGTCATAATACAAACTGACCTTAGGTTTATACGTGCAATATAAACTGAACACAAACCGATGCGAAGCCGAAGCCTGTGTAATAGTTTATATTCCACGTATCAACCTAAGAGTAGTTTGTAGTATATTTATACCAGCCTTACACACACACTGTGACACAGTGCTGTGAGCCTGTGGCCCTAAAAAAGGCCTTTATATTCAGGTGCATATTGTGATTTAGTTTTACATTATGTAAAAAAAGAGAAGAAACACATGAGAACGAGTTATGCAGCAACTATCCACGACTGTAACAAGATGATAAACGGTCAGAAAGTGCGATAATAGGGCACAAAACTGACAGGCTACTGAGACATTCAGCGACTCAAGAGTCGAGACCTACATGTACAGCTCTAACACACCTCCAGTGCGCAAACCAACAGCCGGCTAGCCTTCCAACTAGCCTGTCAGTTTTGTGCCCTATTATCGCACTTTCTGACCGTTTATCATCTTGTTACAGTCGTGGATAGTTGCTGCATAGCTCGTTCTCATGTGTTTCTTCTCTTTTTTTACATTTTATTACTGGCTCAGTATCCGAGTTTAGTTTTATATTGAAAATATAAACTTGAAATCTCCGTTGAAGTTGAATGAGAGTTTGTATAAAAGGGTGGTATAAAATCGCATATTCGTTCAAGAGCAGAATTACTACAACAGTAGGAACGTTGAATTACAGGCCAAATACCAGCAACTAGTCTAGGCCTTTGCCGATAATGCCGGCAGAAAAATTGGCAGAATTCGGTACTTTTTCTGGTAAGTTTCATGCATGTTTAAAAAAAAAGTAAATTATCGTGTCCGTTCCCGAAGGGAACTCACGACGGCCGCTAACACCCGATAAACCCTAGCGGCAGATGCAGCGCCTAACGGTGGGGGTGAGTGGATAAGTCTCACAACCACTGGCACAAGTGCCGAGAACGACCCCATTAGCTGCATCCATGTACCCCTTGTGCCTGGCCACATGGGTCATGCATGTTTGGTATGTGGATAAAGAAAATATGGAGCAGAATTCGAGGAATTGCCCGCAATACGGTTTGTATGGTTCTGCCAATTTCACTGCTTTTCGAGCAGAATCTGCCACCTTTTCGAGCATTATCCGCCAATGCCTAGCAACTACTGTACTAGCACTACTGCCACGATCAACACAGCATAGATGTAGGTCAGTGGTCAAGTGTCACATAGTATGTTCATTTTAAAACGTGGAGGCCTTTTTCAGTACGGCAACTACGGGTACATGTATTGGTAATTGAGTAGGACATGTCATTACTACATTAGCAACGTCACAATCACAAATTGACACAATACATGTCATGCAGATAGCCACCAGGCACCACATCGATATGAAATGCGCCCAGGAATGGTTGCCACATAAACACCAGCACACACGTAAGCAGGCTTCCTATTCATGGTGCACATGTAGATCTACATCACTGACTGTGTAACTTTTCCGTTCTTTCGATCTACTCAGCCAGGACACGAAATATGTATCTAGGAGTACGAGTAGCTGCGCACCAGGCCAGGGCGCACATAGTCACTTGGAAAACTTTTAACAACTCTTGTTACGCAATCAGTGACTTTTGTATTTTGTAATTGTCTAGAATCTTATGTGTTCAGCATTCCAGACTGCAAGTGCAAAAATCCATCAAGTCAAGACGTCTTGCACTTTCCACGTGAACACGAGGCTCGAGGATGAAACACGTTTGTGTCTTTGAGATAAGGAAACGTAGATCTACGCATATGTATCCCTCAAATCTACACGTAGAAATCTCTGCCAGGTCGACCTTCGCCATTGCCACGTCTAGAAATCCACTTCTATCCTGTCAATTCCCGAGCGAGGTCCACTCGACTAATCTAATCGCTACTGGAGTGGTAAAAACCCACATCACATTGGATGCACGTGGGAGAGGCATTTCTTCTCTCCGTTGTCTGGGGGGTCTTGAAAGGCCAGCAAGTGGGCCCTTGTGGCTAGCTGCACCGCAGTGATGACATGTTTGGGCAGGGTAGTACTTAGGCCGGGGAACTGGACGACTTCCAGTGGCGAAATTGATAATGCGCTAGTTCCAGGGTTATAACTCATTTCACCACCAGAATATATCGAGATACATGCAGCATGATCGGACTTGGCGGGCCGCGCCAAGACTGGCGAAAGTAGCTACCTACGTACCTAAGTCCTTGTGCACGTGTGTAGCTTAGCTACGGGCTAGAGAAGTACTGGTATGGGGCAAACAAACAAACTACGGCACGGACACATGTACTAGAGGCTAGAGCGCATTCCAGAGAGTGTTGTCTCGTACTGGCGTTTTCAAATCACACAAGGCATCAACTGTCTCTATGAATTTGGGGACGGTGGCGTGTCCGTTCCTCTACAAAAAGGACGAGCGCAAAGTCTGGATCACTCAGAAGCTCAACACCTGAGCAGACGCAACGAGGTATTATTCGTGAGTTTGTGGTTGTGGTTGCGATGGCTTCTCTCTGGCTATGGCAGTGGCTGCGGGCGGTTTGGCAAATGAGTACGTGTATTGTCATAGTGGTAATGCTCAGCAGTAGAGTATCCGATGGTTCTGAAACTGAATTAGACCACTCCGCGAGTGAGACCACTTCAACCACACTACACTGTGGAACGTTCCCTCACGCGATGGAGCTACGAGCCGCATTGCGCGACATAGGTGTCCAGACACGGCAGCAGTGTGAATCCCTGGACCTGGATAGTCAACTGAGGACGGCAAGACGCGGTGTGTTGCTGTACGCAGGAGGAGTCCGAGAGCATTGCATCACAACCATGCACAGACTGAACTCACTTCCAGGAGCAATCGAACTACCTGACAGTATTCCTGAAGACGACGAAGACGCCAAGTTCGCTTCTGGTACTGGTGAAGACACGGAAATGGAAGCATGCGAGTTGCAGACCAAGTTGCCATCGGATGCGACAGGTAGAGAGGAAGCAAGCATGGTGGACGGGTTGTCTGCGAATATGGATCCATCACAGGTGCACCAACAGCAGCAGCCAGGAAACATGCCTTTCCCATTCCCTGGGTTAGCGCCGGTATACAAACCACCTGAGTTTGGCACTGGACCGACCATAAAGCCGCTGGAGACCATCATTCAGGATGCTCACAGAATGCTATTGTTTCTACACGGTGCCAGCGCCTCCCTGAGGAATGCAGCTGTGCTGACTGGCCGCCTGGAGAGTCTACAGAGAGAGCATGATATCTGGATGAATCGTAGCCGGGCACTTGGTGTAATTGAAGGCCACCATGTTCAGTTGGTTGCTCTGAGAACTCTTCTGAGCACACTGAACGAGACCAGACTGGAGCACCTTGTGTGTCACTATGCATACCCTGGGTGTGATGCTGAGAATGTACCCAGTCCATGGCTATCCAGGATAGATCGTACCAGTGCCTGTCACAGGTATCAAGCCAGCCGTGTGCTGCTCCATCCCCTTCCAAACACAATCACAGATAACCTCAAGGAAACCTTCCTGGCCAAATTCATGAAGGACCAGTGTGCACAAATTGTTGAAGCATCAGGTGTGGCAGAAAAGTCTATCTCCGACTGCTATTCTCAGACGAAAGGTGTGTGTAATGGACGACCGGTGTACAAGTGCCCCGGCCACTTGCAAATGACGGATGACCCAGCACACTGGGTTGGTCCAATCTACATGAGATCTCTTCAGGCGTATACTGGACTAGCTCCATCGTCGGCACTGAACACATCACTGATGTCACCATGCTCATTTCCATGTGGTCTCCGTTGCCGTAACAGTGATGCCATAGACCAAGGGCAAGTGACGGTTTTGAAACGCGTGAGAGTAGTAGCATTCTTCCTTCTGTTTAGTGGCTGTGTTGTCATGGTAGCAGTGGCCATATCTCGCCGTCAGATTGTCCTACACTACCCGCAGCGGCATTCGGTGTACATGGCGATTATCTTTCTCTTCTGGAGCCTGCATTATGTCCCAGCCGGATTAATGGACACTGAGTCACTCCTCTGCTACTCTGACAAAACGGCACGTATGCCAGGAACATACACGGACAGTTCGCTGTGCACATTCACCTTTGTGTTTTTCTATGGTGCGCATATAGTCTTCCTGGCCATGGCCGTCACGGGTGCTGCCATCTTGTTCATGCTTGCCAGGGAACTGGACCCGATGCGTAGCCCGATTCTGGCAAAGAAGCTCGCCATTGCCGAAGTTGGGTCGATTCTGCTGAGTTTAGCACTGGGCTGTGTGGCGACTGCTGTTGTGTTACACCGTAAGAATGTCTTCCCGTTGGTGAGTGCAGGATACTGTACGGTCTTCAAAGATGACTTCCGGCCTGGAGTTCTTATACCGTTCAGTATAAACATTGGCCTGCAAGGCCTACTTCTGATCGCCACGCTATTTGAGCTGTATCGTGATCGGCGTCGCTCGCGGAAGATGCAATCCTATGCAGTGAACCGCCCGGTTGTTACGGGCGTACAGCCAGTTACACGTGTGCGTCGTGCTTTCCTTGCTGCAATATTCAACTTCATCTGGAGTGCCATTGCCTTCCTGTACATTGTCTTCTCAGTGAGAGAAGGTGAGCGCCCAGTCATGCCAGCGTTCATCAGCCCTTTCGAATGCACCCTGGCAACGTGCGGTGATTCATCTTGCCCGCCGTCATCCCTGACCTCACCACATTTCTTCCCGATCGTGATCACGTTCCTCTCTATCGCCGCCATCTTTGGCCTCATCTTCCCTAGCATTGTGTTATTTTCGTCACGTGGTACTCTAGCCCAGACACCGGAGGTTACATACCAGCATGTACCGATTGTCACAAGTAAGCAACTGTCATCTGTCAGCCTAGCAACTCAGTCTTTCCGCGACCCATCACCTCCTGTCATTGGCGAGTTGGACGAACCACCCAGACGACTATCCAATTATCCCACTGACATCTAGACGTTCTCTACGTCTTGTAGTGCTGGCCGTCTGTCTTCTGAGTCTTTCTGCATCACGTGATACAGCATACATGCTCTGCTCCGTTTCCAGTTGAAACAACTTGATGATCATCCAACCTAGGCACAATGATATGACCCGCAACTTGTTACTTGAATACCTACATGTACATTGTACATTGTCTCTTCCCCCCCCTTCTTTTACATGAACTTCCTGATTGCTGTTTACCTGATGACTCAGTGATGGTTATCTACATGTAACTGATTGTACAATACAACTGCTCAAGGCATGGTTGAATTTCGAATGATGCTGTGACACGGACATGCATGTACATGTATCCCACAAACACTTTTCATCACATAAACATGTCAAATATTGATAAACTTGTGTTTATGACATGGACCGCTCGCTGGGGCTCAGAACATTTCAGTGGTCAATGCTGTCTGATGGTTTCTCAGGGCGTGAAACGTTAACTTTTGAACAGTTACAGTACAGAAACAGCCCCTCTTTGTTTATGCCGGTCTGCACTCTGGTGCATTGACTCTATGATTGAGCATTCTTTCGAGCTGCCCAGTAACTACTAGTACTACTACAGTATACCAGTACCCAAGGCTCACGCAGCCACGCTCCTTTAGTGGGCCCCGGCCTTAGATGGGGTTAGAGGAAGCGGGGTAGATCTACTACTATAGCGCGCGAAAAAGCGTCAATACCGCAACAATTATGTCATGACAAGATCAATGTTCTCCCTGTGCTATTAGCGCTAGCTGTCATTGACAATACTACAAACCCTGAAGAATACAGAAAACATTACGTTTTCACAGTAAAACGGTTTTTGAACCCATCAATATCATGATTTTGTCGTGTCACGTCACGTGTATACATGACTATTTGTACAAGTATGTTGTTATGTGGAATATTGCCTATCATTACTCCATTACCAGATTACCAGGTAAATCTAGTGCACCAAGAGGTCCAAGACGCCATGGTAAAGGACATACCCCCCTCCCCCATATTCTTCGGTAGGTCTACATGACAGAATCAGAGACTAAAATAATGAGTGTAGATCATGATGTCATCATGACAATGTACAGTCATGACTGTAGGCCTACTACCGGTAGCAGGGAGTAGTAAAAATACATGTATTATCACCCACACGCACATCAAGCAAGTGGAAGTTGGGGTTGCCGAGCTGCTGCGGCTGGATCATATCAAGTGTTTTGTAACAGAATTTGTAATCTGCGAATTGTTTGCAACAATGCATTTATACCAGGCGGCCCAGCAAAGCGGGATTGTAGAAAATTCTGTTACAATGCTGGTAGATGGCAGGCAGTGCAAGAGATTAAGGCCAATGATCCTAACTAATGCTGCTGTGCCCTTGTGGGGCACGGCTGTGCGCAGGTAGTCAAATGACTGCTGGGACCGGACGGACCTGCTGTATGCTGGGGCCAATTGGCCCGGCTGCTGGACACAATGTGTCTATGCTGGGACCAGCTGGTCCTGTTGGGACCATGTGGTCGTAACTAATGCTGCTGTGCCCTTGTGGGACACGGCTGTGCGCAGGTAGTCAAATGACTGCTGGGACCGGACGGTCCTGCTGTATGCTGGGGCCAATTGGCCCGGCTGCTGGACACAATGTGTCTATGCTGGGACCAGCTGGTCCTGCTGGGACCATGTGGTCCTGCTGCTGGGCAGTGCTTGAAAGCTCATGCAGAGAATTGTTCCAAAATGCATTCAGCTGAGGGGCTTTGCTTGCTTCCCCCCTTTCTGGAGGCGCTAGAACTTAGAAGTGGGTTGTGGTGGGCGGGAGAAAATTCGCACAACACTGCTGATATTGCAAGCCAAGGTGCTCAAACAAATATTAATTTGTTTGCATGGAAAGGTCTCGCTGCTGTTCCAGCAAGGCTGCAAGTCCCACGCTTGCGCATGTGCCATTTTCCCACGCTTGGGGACGATGTACGATGACAGCTAGCTAGCCGGCGTTGCGGACTGCCTGCGAGGCGCTGGCCGCGAGTGCTTCTGTGGCATGATAACTTAGTCTTTGGTTTGCCCGGCCGTTGCAAACCTACATTTTTACTACTCCCTGCCTGACCGGTAGTAGATCTACATGATGACTACATCAGATGTACGTGATTTTTTTGTAGACCTATCCGGCTGTATACCATGGTATACCAGGGAGTCGTACATTGTACATTTGTAGTGCCCGGTTCCGCTAGGGTTTTTGCGAGGCAAATACTAGTCATTCAGCAAGAGCATTTGCTCCATTACTACAGGCTACAGGCATTAGTGTCGCTACCTACTAAGTACTACCCTCAGTGGGCCAGTATCCGTGGACTCACAAGCTGTGACTTGTGAGGATCATGAACCATTGCAGATAGCAGGCACGGGGCGGAAAACTGTAGCCCGGAAGAAACAGAACATCACTGTCATCAGCTTATTTTGGACTGAAAGATTTATTGACAGTTTGAGTGTTTCAAGCGTCACCAGCATCATGTGCCCGCTGCACGCAATGATTCCGGAAACATGGATGTTGACAGCACTGGTTCTGATAGCACACAGTATGCTGCATACCTCAGCGGAATCGGGAAAACCTAAGAAGCCTACAAACATCATATTCATGATGGTACGAAATCTATCTGTAGCACATTGTATTGCATTCCATTGCACATTGTATTCCGTATGTGTATCAAATAGCCGACTATTTCATGCAATGTACATAAGGCAGTGAGATCGCACAGAAACTATCTACAGTATAAATCCCTAGATACGGCGGACGCCCTTAATCCGGTCACATCCGTCTACCAGCACCTTTCTGTCCAATCTTAACTTAATTCACAAAAATTGGCTTTTCTACGAAAACGGGCTGCGAAACCTTGACCCACCTGTTTGCCCAGCACTGTAGACAGCTAGGAAGGCTTCATGGTGCTTGATATGCACCTTTAACGACTGGTCATAAGTATATACTTCGAAGTAGTTACGAGCAAAATGAGGAAGTGACGAGTAAATGACGCGAATGGTTCGCCCCTACAGTAATACATGATATTGTAAGTCCAGTGTGTTCTCTTCTTCTGTTCTTTCTTACAAAGTTGTGTAGCTTACGTGTTGCTTATAATCACGATGTACTTACCCTGCAGGCTGATGATCTAGGCTGGGGTGATGTTGAATACAACAACGGTACAGCACGAACTCCTCACTTGAACGAGATGTCCACAGCAGCTGGAAGTCTACGCTTGAACAGATACTACAGCGGTGGTAAGTGATAGATTACTTCATTTTAGAAACGATAACAGCGTTTTGGCTAAAGAAAAAGTGTTTATATCCAGTACAACACAAGAACAGGAATGTTCTGAGGACCGAATCAGCTGCAACTTAAAATTCCATGCACTGAACACTGATTAGGTATTGGCTGTAAATTCCGCGTTACAAGTCCACCGGACTAAATTTTGCAGAGCTGTGAAGAAACTGGAGGGTGTGCATGGTCAGCGTGAGGTATGATAGTGTTACCAGTATCGTTCAGCACTGCAGTTAACAGAAACTGACAAGAAGGGAAAGGGCAGAGAGGTGTGATAAGTATGTCAACCGCAAATATCACAGGCAAAATAGGCACAATAGATGCAATACACAACTGGTGAAGAATTTAGGAAATAATACCATGAACACCCTGTCATGTGTAGTGGTAATCTGAATATCAGATGCAAATGAAATATCACTGGAAATATCACTGGTTGGGTTTGGGGTGCATCCTTTATCGTGTGTGAGAGGTGTGTGTTTGATCATGTGTGTGCGGTGTGTGTATCCTCATGTGTGTGAAGTCCGGGTATGCTCATGTGTGAGATGGAAGTGACCGAAGATTAGGAATAAAAGTGAGATAAGTGATGAGCTTGAAAAGGATGCTGAGCTTACTGAAGCCGGGACATAGTGTGATACCTTTTACTTGCTAGTAGGTGCAAGGTGGGCTAACATTAGGCACCCAACAACAACTAAAAACGTGTGTAAGCTGGTATGTATAAGGCGTAGTGAGACGTAAAAGACAGACCTTGTTCTGATATGATCACTTTGATTCAAGCCCTGACCTTTTCTTGAGGCCAGACCTCAGTGTAAGCCACGTGTTAGTACATGTATGTGTAACTTCTTGAAACCAATGAGTGTGTGGCTGGGCTTAGCTGCGATGTTCGTGACACTGCTTAAAATGCGTTCTATCTGGTACACTAGAGATGATCTTGTGTAGTTATGTCTTGCTGGTGATTTTATTGTCTGCCTGATCTGCAGTTACTTCAAAATACTTCTTTGCTATGAGTCGTGCATAGGTACAATTTTAAGTGTGTGACCTTGCCTTCATTTTTGCAGACCGTAGTGTGCCAAAATGCAAAGCTTGGTCTGCCTTCAAGAAGGAACCCAAGGCTTCGCAGGTTGGAGCATTGCTGACTGAAAGAGAAAGGCTCCTCTACTTCGGTGAAAATTCTAGTGTTGTGGAATTTCATTGACTCTGCAAGTCAGTATTATAACTGATTATGACCTAGCTACTGCAGGAACAGGGAATTGCATGTTCCCTTGGAGCCCCTCGCCAGCATGGAGCCCCTGCCGGATTGGCACAAATGCTTGAAAAGCACTGCAGCCCAGCCAGCAAGAGAAAGAGGCTGTGGAGGGATCTACAATCACTTTTGTCAGTTATGGCTGTCCAGATGACCTCTACAGTGTTGGCACTTAGTGGATTTCTTGTGCTGATGGCTCGGAGCATGGCGAGTGAGTGGAACTAGATCCCGGCAAGGGCTTCATACAGGTTAATTTGTCCTAGAGACGTCTGTGTGTTTAAAGGGCATACTGTTAACCAGTACACTGTAACGTGTACTTCACTATGCTTCTGTGTTCAATGCAGGTCCTGTGTGCTCACCAACACGTGGAACAGTACTGACCGGGCGCAATCATAATCGCTATTGTGTGTGGAGCGCCAATACTGGCAACAACAAACCAGATTTTGCTGTGGCTGAGCGCATGCCATTGCCATCATATGAATACACTATTGCTACAGCTGCCAAGGCTGCGGGATACTCAACAGCTATGTTTGGAAAATGGTAGGCACTGTATGACTACGTAAACTCACTGAACTTACCAATTACTGATTGCATTTCTATGTATATTGGCTACATATCTTAAATGATGTTAAGTTTTCATTGACCCTGCAACCCTGTGCAATATTTTCTGACGGCAATATTTTACCAGCCGTTTCCAGTTGATACTGCTTGACATGAGCGGGGCGAGGTGATGGTGATTTTTGTCATTTGATATCAATGTCCCATTGTTTGCCATGCAACTCTCCTTGTGCTAATGAGTATGCCTAGATCAATTCTGCCGTATTGTAGGGGCCTAAATGGGGTGTGTAGGTCACCGCTGCGCTAGTGTAATGTTCTTCCTTATATGGTTGTACTTTTGTTTGGATTTTCTCATTTTTCTGCCTCCAGGCATCTTGGAGATTTCTTTCAGTTGCCCAAGAGTAATCCTAAATGGCCGGTGAGGTGCTTCTCTGCGAATTGGTATGCACAAAGATGCTTTTAGCATAGGAAATCAATTCAAATCATGCCAGTACAAGTAGGCAGTACTTCAGAGGTATTGTCTAAGATCATTTTGAGAATTTCACTGGGTGACCACATAACAACTTTCACTTTTGTTTTTAAATCGTCCTCAGCCAATGTTCTTTTAGTGTTCTGTGTTGCCACACCTGCCGACATGTCAGTAGCCTGCCGATTTTTGAGGCCTGTCACAACCTGCCGACAATTGACCGTCTCCTGCCGACAACAGCCGTGAAAGTGTCCAAATTTGACCTTTGTGCTTGGTTTAGAAGTCATGGTCCAGAATTTTGGCTTTTACTGCTCATTACGAGTGATTCCATAGCTTTCTCCTACAACGCAAACATCAGCTGTCTGGGGAAATCGGCAAACTCAGCCTGAGTCGTGTGCACTGTAGAATCCCGCTGGTGGGTTTGTACAACGAAGCTTGGCGATGTTCGAACTTGGCCTAGGCTTATGCGCGGGTGGATTTATCCGCTGGATTCTAGGGCATACTGGGGTTACTACAAGGGGGGGGGGGTCCGGGGGCGAAGCCCCCGGATGATGCATTTTATTTTTGTTCAGTCTACTGATATTTTGCTATAATGATGTGGCAACACTGAGTGTTGCATTGTAAAGTTTCTTCTGTGAATTGATGTTTTCAAAGTTTGTAGGGCTGGTGGTGCGCTGCTATACCTGCGTCTTTAGATATCACATCCTGGAACACATGGCTTTGATGAGTGGTTGTCTACAGAGCGCTCTGCACCCACAGCAACAACCAACTGCGGATGCTTCAAACCGGATAAATGCCAGGTAAGGGAGGTCGAGACAGTCTGGTATCGTACATTTCACTGTCATCACTTCAGTAATTATGGTCGCGATGTACAGATACTAGATTATCAGTCTACCCTTGGAAGCCATGATGTAAACATCTCGCCCTGACACATAATTCTGGTCTGAATTGCATGTATGTACTGTTGAAACATTGAAACCCGCTTTCAACGCACACTTAGTTACTCTTAGGACCATCCTGCCTGGAGTAAGAGAAAGGAAAAGTGACCTCACCAATATGTGTTGGTTGCTCAAGTTGACCAGGTTTCGTCAGTATTTGATTTTCTGGCCTTCCCAGCCCCCCCCCCCCCCCCCCCCCTCCTGATGGCTAGTTCCTCTCTACTAGCATCTTGGTGTCCACTCTCTTCTGGGCAGTGCCAAGCTACTTACTGTATTGACTACTTAGTATTCTGTGTCGAAAGTGTTTGCTTACCCGTGTGTGGTCATAGCTATTATAATATTGGTGATGTTTACCTTGCTGCTTGTTGTCCTCCAGAATGGTCATTGGCCGGACAATGTTGCTTGTAACAACTACTGGGGTCAGAATACACCTGCCTTGCACCTCAATGATGCTGGTGAGTGTACTACAGCGGAAGTTTCACCGGAAAATTGGCCGATTGGCTTGTGACTTGGATTATTCCTACGGGACACAGTTCGAAACATCTCATGAAACCAATTTCATCAATTTGCGTAGGTTGTTTGGCGAAATCCTTTAGGCAGAAACCAAATCCCATAGTATTTTCTGTTGACAGTTGAAGAGATAGAAAATCGTATTATCAATCACGTGTAATAGACTAGCTCCTCAGAGCTAGATGTACATAAGCGGTAAGTTGCTCGGTCTTCACCCTGCTGGATTGTCTTCAGTAGAGGAAGATGTCTGAAATCATAATACCTGAATCACATTCTGTTGTTGATGTTCATATTTTGCGTGCAGGCGTTCACGGTTTTGGTGGAGCTCCTGTACCCGTTACAAACCTAAGCACACCTGTTCCTGGGGACGACAGCGAATACCTCGGAAATGTTGCTGAAAGCTATATTCGCAGACAAGTTTCCAGTGGAAGTCCTTTCTTCCTCTATCTACCATTCCATACAGGTGAAGAGATTATGTATGTATGTATGTATGTATGTATGTATGTATGTATGTATGTATGTATGTATGTATGTATGTATGTATGTATGTATGTATGTATGTATGTATGTATGTATGTATGTATGTATGTATGTATGTATGTATGTATGTATGGAGCATGCTGGGTATACTATTTGTGGCTGACAGTTCACTGATGTGCTTGTGGAGGAGGGGAGGATGGGGAAATCATTTGGACGAACACATGGGTTTGACAAATTGCTGAAACAAGAAATTTTGAAGAGAATTTCAAGGACAGCAGTAGCTGTGTTGCTTCCACACCAATTTATGAACTTCTGTGCGAGTCTTGTTTCGAAATTTTGACAACGACTGGGTGCGGGCACCAGCAACCACCGCATGCCACTTTTAAGTTCAAAAGTGTACGGGATCAGCACCGGAGCAAGCAGGAAATAGGGAGGTTTCGTCCCACGTAACGGATATGGGAACGTGGATGATACGAGTAAAGTTGACGTTCGCAAAGTTGTTTCAGTCACACGGAACAAACAAAAGCATGAAGAAAAAGACCCAAACTTAGTCAAAGACGAAGCTTCGAAGCTCATCGAATATTTTGATTTCGTGCTTCGGAAACTTCTTCAGCTGAGCACCCTCACAGCTTGCACAATGCGCTCCATTCTGATTTCGCCCACGCTATGGGGGAACGTGGGTGAGCCGCCATACATGGTATGTCGTGAATTAGGAAACTGCTGCACGTGGGTCACTGAGGACACGTCACAGTGGTACACACACGTAAAGTACACACGGATTACGTGGGACTTAACCTCCCTATTGTTGAACACTGCCCAACTGTCCCAGCCCTTGTCGTCTGTGACTTACTGTATGATTGCGGCACACATTGCACTGATTCACATAACCTCATTCCGCCGGGAGGGTTTGCAACAGACACTCCTGGCCGCAGTCCCAATGGGCCATCCCGGTGCACACCTGTAATATGTAGACAAACCCTTTCGAAACTCGCTCGAAATAACAACTTACTAGTACCAGTATGTGCAGAGATGCGCTCAGGAAAGTGCACATTCAGTAAGCACACGATCATGGTGACGGGCCACATTTAGGCAAGCTCAGGGCTGAGAAAAAATGGTAGTTTGTGAAGAGATGGTCATTCACTCCCCTTTTTGAGCAACTGAAATTAATTACTTCCAAGTACTAATGCTTCAGTTTCTTCATCTTTTTGTTGTCCAGTGCATATTCGCTACGTTGCTGTGGAGCCTTTTGTCACAATTTACCGCAGCCTGGGAAAGTATTCACCGCAGGAGATTGACTATTTCGGAGCAATTTCTGCAATGGATGCCCAGGTTAGATAATTAACTAACTTAAAGGGGAAGTTAGGGTTTGCTCCCCACACCGGAGCTCGCGCTATTCCGCCGACGTTACTTGACACTTGACTGACTCACGGCTGCCATCCAGAGCACACGAGAAGTCCATCGAACCTTCGACTCGGCAAACCTGCAAGAAAGCACCACTCCCTGCTCAATACACAGTGTTTCGGGGAATTCACCCCTCATCAGTTGAGCTTGAGTAGGCTGAGGAAGATTGTGCCTGAAGAGCACCACTTATATAGTGCTCTCCAGGCACAAACATCACCAGGGATACAAACGTACAGAGACGCTCCGTTTCCAGCGCGACAAACACCTCGTGAACACCAGATAGCAGCGTGAGTCAGTGTCGCTCCTGGACGGTGAGACAGACGTCGAGGACCCTCGGTCATTCGCAACGCTGTCACCTCCAAACCAACTAGCCGCAAGCCCGCGCTGGGCACAACAGTACGAAGTAGTGGTTGCGACTTCGGCGATGATTTTGTAAGAAAGGGTTTGTTCCCCCGTTCGATGGACTTCTCGTGTGCTCTGGATGGCAGTCGTGAGTCAGTCAAGTGTCAAGTAACGTCGGCGGAATAGCGCGAGCTCCGGTGTGGGGAGCAAACCCTTTCTTACAAAATCATCGCCGAAGTCGCAACCACTACTTCGTATTAAAGGGGAAGTTAAGGCAAAAATTAAAATTTCACCAGTTGTAGTCTTCGGGGTGCTGAGTCGAATGGTCTTGGTCCGAGAAAGCTGAGACGCTCCCTTCCTACTTGAATCCCAATCGAACTCGCGCACTTCCACCGAAACTGGGTGACTGCGCCCTACGAGATGGGGATTTGTATGCGAAATGTCACTAAAAGCACCATTTCGTTCTTATAAAAGCACGGATGACCGCGATTGGCCCATATGTTGTAGTCTTTTGGACGCTGAGTCGACTGGTTTTGGTCCGAAAAGGCTGCGATGCAGCGTTCGCCCCTAATTCCCAATCGAACATGGTTGAACAAGTGGTCACGTGCTCCTGCGTACACCAGTCACCTGGTCACCGTGGCTGCAGGGTACAACTTACAGCCTGTTTTGACCTTTTTGGGGTGCAGTCCTGTCACTCGAGTTGAACCTTGGTGTGAAAGTTGTCGCCTGCTGGCGATTAAAGGGGAAGTTAAGGCAAAAATTAAAATTTCACCAGTTGTAGTCTTCGGGGTGCTGAGTCGAATGGTCGTGGTCCGAGGAAGCTGAGACGCTCCCTTCCTACTTGAATCCCAATCGAACTCGCGGACTTCCACCGAAACTGGGTGACTGCGCTCTACTAGATGGGGATTTGTATGCAAAATGTCACTAAAAGCGCCATTTCGTTCTTATAAAAGCACGGATGACCGCGACTGGCCCATATGTTGTAGTCTTTTGGACGCTGAGTCGATTAGTTTTGGTCCGAAAAGGCTGCGATGCAGCGTTCCTCCTTTATGCCCAATCGAACATGGTTGAAGAAGCGGTCACGTGCTCCTGCGTACACCAGTCACCTGGTCACCGTGCCTGCAGGGTACAACTTACTAGCCTGTTTGACCTTTTTTGGGTGCAGTCCTGTCACTCGAGTTGAACTCGAGTTGAACCTTGGTGTGAAAGTTGTCGCCTGCTGGCGTGGTGACCAGGTGATTTGGGCACCCAGGAGCATGTGACCGCTTCTTCAACCATGTTCGATTGGGAATAAGGGAGGAACGCTGCATCGCAGCCTTTTCGGACCAAAACCAGTCGACTGAGCGTCCAAAAGACTACAACATATGGGCCAATCACGGTCATCCGTGCTTTTATAAGAACGAAATGGCGCTTTTAGTGACATTTTGCATACAAATCCCCATCTAGTAGGGCGCAGTCACCCAGTTTCGGTGGAAGTGCGCGAGTTCGATTGGGATTCAAGTAGGAAGCGAGCGTCTCAGCTTCCTCGGACCACGACCATTCGACGCAGCACCCCGAAGACTACAACTGGTGAAATTTTAATTTTTGCCTTAACTTCCCCTTTAAGTTAGATACTGGAAATGTGCATGCTGGAGACAGAAACGATGGCTGTGCTAGCTCAAGAGCAGCTATGGGATTTAGAAATGCTGACTGGCATTACTCTTGATCACTGTCTCACAGCCATAGCTCACTTTCATCTACACCTCAGACTTTTAAAGTACACTGCATGGCATTGTAAGTGATCGAAGCAAATGTGCGTCTGTTGTACATGGCTGCGTCTGTTGTAATGTTGTATTGTGCCCTGCTTGAGGCTTCGTGCAGACTCTGTGCAGAGTATGTGTTGTACGTGAATGTGCAGAGTGCACTTGACCTTGTTCAGTGTATGTGTATGTGTATGTGTATGTGTATGTGTATGTGTAAGTGTATGTGTATGGGTATGTGTATGGTGGTTGTTGATGTGTACAAGTACATGTATGATGGTTGTTGATGTGTATTGTGTGTACTGTCATACTCAGGTCGGTAGAATACGAGCCTTACTCCGAGAACTTGGCATTGAGAACAACACCATGCTCTGGTTCAGTAGGTAAGAGACACATGCAGTGTGGTACTAGCAAAAACTAAAAACGATTCAACGGTGACACATGTTCGACCAACTTTAAGATGTAACAGCCTGCTTTGTGTGGAAAGTCATCTGGAGAGGCTTGATTTGTACTAGTTAAATGGATGTCGATTGTCTTTGTAGTCTGACATGCTATGGAACATGTGAGATTTTCCATTTTTGGTGCTGTTTGTACCCCAAACTTACTGAATTTAATTCTTACACAGTGCTTATTACTCTCAGCCTTCTACGCATACAGTCACGGACGAACAGCTATGCCAAAGCTAGAATATGTCCATGTCTGTGCGCATGTTTTAATGTGTTTCATGCAGTGACAATGGGCCTGCGCATGGCACTCCGGGTCAAACCAATGGGTTACGTGGGCACAAGACGGACCTGACCGAAGGTGGAATCCGCGTCCCTGGACTCTTGGAATGGCCTGACAGAATCACACAACACCGCATTGTGAACACCCCGATTGTTTCTAGCGATCTGATGCCCACTTTCTTGGAGCTTGTTGAGGGACGTATGCCAGATAATGTAAGTTGAGTAGAGTTGAAAAGTTGGTGTCCCTTCCCAGCGGTTTGATGAATGTGGACCTACAGTAACTAGTACTGTGATTTTAAGGTAGAATTTACATCTGGTGTGAAGGTATCTTGCCAGAGAGTTCAAATAATAATTGATAGGTCAGTGAGCTAAATACAGGTCGACAAAATTGATGAGTACATCTGCGTTTGTGTCGGGGGGGGGGGGGTGTTGATTTAAAAATGCTGTTACATGGTGATACGCTCAGACCTCACACGACCGCACACATCCGTTTTCCACAAAAAATATGGGGATAGGCGAGGGAACCGGGTAACCCAACACACATGTTGTATGTATGCATGGCATATGCTGTATATCCGTAACCAACGATTTTCTTCCGGATGGCGAGGGATCCTGATAAAAGAGGACCGGATAAACGAGATCTGGCTGTACTCAGAGCATATAGACCAGCATTCTGCTCATTATATCCTGCCTAAGGTGGAAACTCATAGTGACAGCCTGAAGGCGCAATATTAACTCAAGTCAGTACAATCACGGTTAAGTTCCTGGTTTTGGTCTTTTGTCCAGCGCCCAATGGATGGCCTGTCAGCTCTTGATATCATTGATGGCGTCTCCACCAAGCGTTCACACCCTATAGGCTTTGCGTTCAAGATCCATGGGGACTTCAACAACACATACCATGTGGCCTGGGTGGATAACCAGGTACGGCCTTTGATCTGCATATTGCCGTCCAAAACCACAGGACTGTAGTGAAATTAAGATTTAAGAATGCTCCGTGCAAGAGCGCTTACATTCTGCGCTTTTCACCTAAAGTGGCAGTAGATAGTTATGTTAATGGAAAGAGGTGCTAATGAAAGCCTCATCAAGGTGTTAGTCACGGTACTAAAGAAGTGACATCACTTTACCTAGTTACCTAGTTACCTAGTCACACACATCACTTTACCTATTTACCTAGTTACCTAGTTACCTAGTCACACACATCACTTTACCTAGTTACCTAGTTACCTAGTTACCTAGTTACCTAGTCACACACATCACTTTACCTAGTCACACACATCAATGCATCCAGCTTTAGGAAACCAGTTTGCAGCATGGATTTGAGATTGTCCCTGAACCATGAGATGCCTTACCAGGCACAGGTCTTTGAACAAACCTGCGCAGCTATTCCACAAAGACATCACTGACTAGCATGATGCCAATGTGTGTAGAGAATCTGTGAACGCTGAGCTGACACTTGCATTGCCATCTCTAATTCTCCATGCAGACGGTATCATTCTGGTAAAGTTTTAACGATGCATGTGTGCCACCCTCTGTACAGTGGTCATTCTGTTGTGCAGACTGTGCACAGTCACATACAAGTGTGTGTACTTCAAATGTGAACAGATCATTGCTAAGTCTTAATACATTGGTGTACTGCCTCGGTGTACTTATTACATTGCTTACATGTACTCTCCCTCATGTGCTGTATCACATAGTACAAGATCTATGGACTGATGAAGGAAGGCAAGTTGGCAGAGACTTTCCTCTATGACCTGACCAAGGACCTGGCGGAAGCAAATGACCTATCCGCAAAGTATCCTGATATTGCTAAGCGGATGGTGGCTGACCTGGAGACTTGGCTTGTGTCAGTGGAGAACAGTGCTAAGACCGAGAGTCAGTGTTACTCTGTTAAAAGCTATTTTGAAGAAGATTCAAAGGATTTCAATGGCTGATAACTAGGATAAGGACATTTACATCAGGGAGTCGTAAAATAACCCTCGCCATGCTCTCACTGGAGGTCGAAGCACTCGTGCCCAAACTGAATTAGTCTTTTGACAACGAGATGCATCGTTTTAGTGTCGCCTTTCGTCAGTATTTTATGACTCCCTGCTTTCCATCATAGTCCTAATGATGACTGCAATCCGTTGACATGACCAGTGACTATACAGTACTGGGATTATGCTGTAGAATGCACTTCAAGACATCTGAAGTAGATTCAGCAATTCTAGGTTGCTCATATGTTGTTAGACTAATCCTGGCTGCATTCTCGTATGGCCTGTGTGCCTTATTACCATCCTTGACATCGTCTCAGTCTGAGGGACGATGGCATGCATGTTGCATGCAGGAACGCTATTTCCGCAATGGGAAAATTGGTCTGGCTGAGTGGGAGCAAGTCTCGTGCGAACCGTCTGTAAAGTTTATATCATTTTTTGGAGTGCCATATCCGGCCTGTTCAGAAGAGTCACAGCCTGTGCTGTTCGCATGCTGTTCCGGTATGTCCATTCTTTGATGTGCAGCAGGCTATACATGTATCACTTGTCCAATTAACTCTAGTTGTATAAGGAAATGTCCTGGCATTGTGCACTTTGCCATGCAAGCACGTGAATTTCCTAACATGTGCATGCTGAAAGTACAGTGATGTCATCATACACAATTATACTTATTATTATTATCATCATCAGCCCTGTCGTCTTTTGCCATGGAATCATATTCCTGTCAGATGTTGACTATCGCATAGTTTGGGGCGGTGATACCTAGCTGTACAAGTGTGCATGATGGGATGAAGCTCGACTGTGCTATGCAAGTGTACAGATACATGTACAGATGGTCATGTACAGATGGTCATGTACAGATGGTCATGTACAGATGGTCATGTACAGATGGTCATGTACAGATGGTCATGTACAGATGGTCATGTACAGATGGTCATGTACAGATGGTCATGTACAGATGGTCATGTACAGATGGTCATGTACAGATGGTCATGTACAGATGGTCATGTACAGATGGTCATGTACAGATGGTCATGTACAGATGGTCATGTACAGATGGTCATGTACAGATGGTCATGTACAGATGGTCATGTACAGATGGTCATGTACAGATGGTCATGTACAGATGGTCATGTACAGATGGTCATGTACAGATGGTCATGTACAGATGGTCATGTACAGATGGTCATGTACAGATGGTCATGTACAGATGGTCATGTACAGATGGTCATGTACAGATGGTCATGTACAGATGGTCATGTACAGATGGTCATGTACAGATGGTCATGTACAGATGGTCATGTACAGATGGTCATGTACAGATGGTCATGTACAGATGGTCATGTACAGATGGTCATGTACAGATGGTCATGTACAGATGGTCATGTACAGATGGTCATGTACAGATGGTCATGTACAGATGGTCATGTACAGATGGTCATGTACAGATGGTCATGTACAGATGGTCATGTACAGATGGTCATGTACAGATGGTCATGTACAGATGGTCATGTACAGATGGTCATGTACAGATGGTCATGTACAGATGGTCATGTACAGATGGTCATGTACAGATGGTCATGTACAGATGGTCATGTACAGATGGTCATGTACAGATGGTCATGTACAGATGGTCATGTACAGATGGTCATGTACAGATGGTCATGTACAGATGGTCATGTACAGATGGTCATGTACAGATGGTCATGTACAGATGGTCATGTACAGATGGTCATGTACAGATGGTCATGTACAGATGGTCATGTACAGATGGTCATGTACAGATGGTCATGTACAGATGGTCATGTACAGATGGTCATGTACAGATGGTCATGTACAGATGGTCATGTACAGATGGTCATGTACAGATGGTCATGTACAGATGGTCATGTACAGATGGTCATGTACAGATGGTCATGTACAGATGGTCATGTACAGATGGTCATGTACAGATGGTCATGTACAGATGGTCATGTACAGATGGTCATGTACAGATGGTCATGTACAGATGGTCATGTACAGATGGTCATGTACAGATGGTCATGTACAGATGGTCATGTACGGATAGTTATGTAGTATTGTACAGATTACTGCTCTCAGTAGATGATCGTTCAGTGTTCATTCAGTGTTATATAATTTTACCTATAAAGCCAAGATTAGAAAGACGGCCAATGCCTGCCGGCGGTTCATACAACACTGATGCCTGGACCACACTAGGCCCATATGGTATCGTGCGACAAATTCTCGAGATCGGAGTGAAGTTAGTTGCCTGGTGTGGCCGGTGTTGTCGCATGCGTTTCCGGCAAATTTGCGTTTGTACAGGTAGTCGGACCCAGTCGGCCGATTTCATATCGGGGTCGGTGTCGGATCCGATGATCGGCCGAGTGTGAGCCAGGTATTACAACGCTGCCATTTATTGCCATTATCAGTGCACTGGCTGTGGGCTGTGTCACGTGTGTGTGTGGGGGGGGGGGGGGGTGTAGGTATGAGACTAGGCCAATGACCTGCTCCAAAAATGAGTTCAAGAAGATAAGAAAGATGAGTGGGTTGACGTCGGGAACCGGATCGGAAGGCGAAGGTATTTTTTGTGAAAAAGTTTCACTAAAATAATGTAGTTTATCACTCTCTTAGTATTGACTCACATAGATTTTTGCCATACCTAAGCAGTCAAATATTCCTGCATATTTCACTCCTTAGGGCTCTATTGACTGCTTATATTTGACTGCTTAGGGGTTGCGCAGTTGAACGGTGCCTACAATGCAGCATTGTCACTGCATGAGTAGGTGGTGACTGGTGGTGCAACGGTTGTGCAATCATAAAACCGGGATTCATGAGGTTATCGTTGTGGAATTTGAAATACGGACTGTTTGTCGTGATAAATCTAATATTGACTTCGTACTTGGTCAGTATAGGAAATAAAAACCTTGTAAAAGACCTCGGCTTCGCCTCGGTCTTTTACTCGGCTTCGCCTCGGTCTTTACTCGGCTTTTATTTCCTATATTGACCTCGTACTCAGTCAATATTAGATACATACAACCTTAGTCAACATATTTGGCGTTTGAAACAGAAGTCTAGTCGTTGTCTCATGCTTCGACTGTATTAGTGTAAGTCTCACCGCCTAGTTGTCGAATAGCAATACCAGAAAGGCCCAGGTCCGACGACAGATGTCAGAAATGACTGCTGTCACTGCTCATTGCTTGTGCCATCGCTCCGTGGGCCGAGACGTCGAGAGAAGTTTCATCCTAAACAATTATTGTACAATCATGTACATGTACTTTGCGGTATTTCACTTACTGGGTCAGCCTTCGCCTCCACAATTTCTTCTCTTCTTCTTGTGAACCGGTTAACCGTGGACAACGTCATGGTGTGGCAGTTGCAGCGAGTTATGTCATCATGGGCGTTGGCACTGCTTCTATTAGCGGTTGGTTCGCAATATTCGGATGCAAGCAAACCGAAGAAACCCACGAATATTATATTCATGATGGTAGGTTCAGCAAATGCATTATAGCTTCTATATGACCGTATCTGACTCGCACGTAAACTGTTCTGTTTTTAGAGTACAGTCGGAGATCATGACCTTTGAGCACATTATACCACTATCTGCACACACGTACACCTGAATGGGATCAGGGAGTGAATGAATTATTGAAAATTGGAATTCACAAATTTTTTACGAAGTGGTGTGGATGCCTAGCGCCTGTGCGTGCACCATATCACCGGCAAATGGAATAGCAGTCTACCGCTGGTACTACTAGTTTCAATGCCCCAACACGTACGATTCAGTCCATTTCCACACAGGGCATGTAGCAACACAAACCGGCCCTGGGCGGTAGCGTGTCATACGCAGACTTTGCCATCACCTGCTAGTGCTGAAACGATTATATCGATTACTCGTTACTTACTCGATAAGAAATAGATCGAGCGGTTATTTCGATTTTATCGGCTAAACGAGTAGAATGGTACTTACGCTCGGTACAGGATTTCCCCCCTTTCGGGGTCGCACAAAGTGTGCATGCACCGAAAGTGGTGCGAGTACGACACGAATATGTACATGACTGTAAACTTGCAACATCGATGTACGTGTAAAAGTACAAGCACGATCTGAGAAACATCGACGCGATCACCGTCGCCGTCTTTTCAGCTGACTACTTTTCTTACATACAGCATGCAGGACTGGTAGCCTCAGTATGTGGCTACACTAGCTGCAGGGGCTGGAGTTCCCTCCACGTGCGGGTAGTCTTGAGTTTAAGGCAGTAAAGTGGTCTTCAGTTTCGTGTTTTCCGTTCTGTTGACGGTTCCCGAACCAGTTTGCTCGACGACGAGCTAGACCTGGCGTCGGGGCCTATGTTGAGCATAGACAGGAAAAGCAACTAGTTACTTGTTGACCCGCCTCAAGTCAGCTCATCTGTCGAAATCTGCCGATCTGCACCCCTAGCCGGCTTCTCTGACTTCATCGTCGGAGTCAGCGAAGTCACAGGCGAAGGGAACCATCAGCTCTTGGGTTGCAACCAGTGCGTCACCTCTGTCTTGTCTGTATCCGCCTGGTCGGTCTTAAAGGGGAAGTTAAGGCAAAAATTAAAATTTCACCAGTTGTAGTCTTCGGGGTGCTGAGTCGAATGGTCGTGGTCCGAGGAAGCTGAGACGCTCCCTTCCTACTTGAATCCCAATCGAACTCGCGCACTTCCACCGAAACTGGGTGGCTGCGCCCTACTAGATGGGGATTTGTATGCAAAATGTCACTAAAAGCGCCATTTCGTTCTTATAAAAGCACGGATGACCGCGATTGGCCCATATGTTGTAGTCTTTTGGACGCTGAGTCGACTGGTTTTAGTCCGAAAAGGCTGCGATGCGGCGTTCCTCCTTTATTCCCAATCGAACATGGTTGCAGAAGCGGTCACGTGCTCCTGCGTACACCAGTCACCTGGTCACCGTGCCTGCAGGGTACAACTTACTAGCCTGTTTGACCTTTTTTGGGTGCACTCCTGTCACTCGAGTTGAACTCGAGTTGAACCTTGGTGTGAAAGTTGTCACCTGCTGGCGTGGTGACCAGGTGATTTGGGCACCCAGGAGCACGTGACCGCTTCTTCAACCATGTTCGATTGGGAATAAAGGAGGAACGCTGCATCGCAGCCTTTTCGGACCAAAACCAGTCGACTCAACGTCCAAAAGACTACAACATATGGGCCAATCGCGGTCATCCGTGCTTTTATAAGAACGAAATGGCGCTTTTAGTGAGATTTTGCATACAAATCCCCATCTAGTAGGGCGCAGTCACCCAGTTTCGGTGGAAGTGCGCGAGTTCGATTGGGATTCAAGTAGGAAGGGAGCGTCTCAGCTTCCTCGGACCACGACCATTCGACTCAGCACCCCGAAGACTACAACTGGTGAAATTTTGATTTTTGCCTTAACTTCCCCTTTAACAGCTGACGGACTTGCTGCGGGATCATCGGATTTATGCACCCGCTTTCCGTCGTTGGCAATGTTGGACTCGTATTTTTTTGAAATTCGCAGAATGTACATTTTACTGATGTAGTTACAATAAGAATCGTTTTAAGCCGATAAGCCGATCGTTATTGTATCAGCTTAGCCACTAAGGAAAAAACGTAATCGTTTCAGCAGTATCACCTGCACATGCACACATATGTACAACTGCATTATTAATTATATGAGTACATGTGACTCACTTGTGAGGTCTGCATTCGCCACTAAGGTGTAAAGGCATAGTGGTGGCCTGCGGAAGCGAAGGCTATAGCTTGTGTGTTTCTGAACATTCAAGTGATGCTAACGCGGATCCCGCGAATATTATATTATTATTATTATTATACATGTATTAATTATGATCTGGGCTACGGGCTCAGCTGAGACGCATTCCAAGAGAAAAAAGAAAGCGTGAGAACAGAATGACGTGCATTGACGCCCTTGCCCTGGCATCTTTTTTCGCCTCCTTTATACATAAGTTGCATCTTTCCACAGCTTTACATCATTCTTAGAAGAAAGAAAATTCTTGTTTTTACTCCTGTGGCAGCCCATAAGAAGCCCCTGTTCTCGTCTTCTGCTCTGGAATGGCATGTGAATGCATGCAACGAACGAATAGTAAATCAATTGCATTAGACATCTGTTGTGAACTATTTACGATGTTACTCTGCAGGCTGATGATCTGGGCTGGGGTGATGTTGAATACAACAACGGTACAGCACGAACTCCTCACTTGAACGAAATGTCCACAGCAGCTGGAAGTCTTCGCTTGAACAGATACTACAGCGGTGGTAAGTGATATAACATTAATGTAACAATTGATAACCGCAATCAGTAATACAAGCTGGATCGACATTTGTGTACACTGTATTCATGTATTGTAAAACTGTGGAGACAATGTGCAATAAAACTATTACAATTGAGCTAAAAATTATAATTACCATTGCGGCCATGGCAAGAGTACGTAAAAGGCTAATAGCTGAGCTTGTTCTACCGTCCTTTTTGTTGCCATCATATCCTTTCTTGGACAATTTATCTTTGATGTAATGTGCTATATGCAGGTCCTGTGTGCTCTCCAACTCGTGGGACGGTGCTGACAGGACGCAATCATAATCGCTATTGCGTGTGGACTGCCAATTCTGGCAACAACAAACCTGATTTTGCTGTGGCTGAGCGCATGCCATTGCCATCATATGAATACACTATTGCTACAGCTGCCAAGGCTGCGGGATACTCAACAGCTATGTTTGGAAAATGGTATGAATATTCTGACGTGGATTATTTTACCGTCTTTGTTGAGCACAACGTTTGAGGGTCAAGGTCCAAGTAGGTCTGAAACTTTGTAGGATTGGTTAGTGTAT